ACTCTGCCAGCATCTCCTATCGCCTTCTGCAAGGAACTGGTGAGGCCGTCTCTGTTCTCCGCTGTAGTTTTCTTCAGCTAGAGAAGTACCTCCCCGTTCCTCGTCCGCCGAATTGCACCGATGTTCACTCCGCACTTCTCGGGGTCAACCTGGCTTCGGATGCCTCCCAAGATTTCCGCGTAGCTTTTACTTTGCGCGGGTTTGAGGGCGATGGCCTCTGGGCGGGCACGCTTCTTTGTTTTCCCTTTCCGCGACTTCGTCCCTTCGCCCGTTGCCGCGTTCCCGTTTGCTGACTGCAGCGGAGGGCTATTCTTCTTGTTCTTCTTCTTCTTCCCCTTTGCGATCACCTCCGTCCATTCCGTTTGGGCGGTAGTGGCTTCTTCCTTCTTCTTCTTCCCGACGTTGAGCGCCGGGGGCAATGGTGGACTACTGGCCGTCCATTTTTTATTTGCAGCAGCCGCCACCGCCGCCGCCGCCGGACTGGCCAATGCTGCCGTGCAGAAGGTAGGGGTCGGAGGTGCTGGGTATGCACCTTCTAATTTACGGCGGGCAGTCAGGCTGACACGCCTTGTCTCCGCGAGATCGTCAAGCGGCTCCTCCAACTTGGGGAGGCCATTTTTCACGTCTTAACTGATGTTAGGCTGCCTTTTCAGTGCAGCCAGCATTCCCGCAACAAGAGCCTTCATTTTCTTAAGGCTCTTCTCCACCTTGTCCTCCGCTTCGTTGATGGTGCAGCGTAGATCAGCATCCTCGCTCACTCCGACCAGACTGCTCGAAGCGGCAGCATACATATTCCCTCTTGTCTTCTCTAAGGTATTTTGAGTTTCATTCGCCATAAATACATCTTTGCTACTCCAGGATACCAGGCCGTCTCCGAACGCGGTTGCCTCCAGGTGTGGGGGGGTGATCACGACCGCAGCTACCCCCATGACTGCGGCTGCATGTGGCATAGGGGAGAGAATGTTACATCCGCCCCGTACCGTGCACCATCACCTTTCATCGGCACCCTGCTACCCCCTTGGGAGCGGTGCGTTGACGCCGGGAGCCACCAGGAGACGCGCGCTGCACCGTACCCGCTCCGTCTCCTGACCCATCGAGAAAAACGGCCACCCCTAACATGGGGGACAGACGCCGACCAGAACACCGCCCGATACGGGAACAGACGCGATCTGGCTTTCAAGTTCCAGTTTTGGTCCGCGGTCGGTATTTTATTTCCCAACTACCCTGCATATCTGCAGAGCATTCCCCTATCCGCCACCCGGGGACACGTCCGGTGGGGGACTGGAAACCCCGCACGGAACTGTATTACATCATACCTAATGTCGACATAATAATAATCATATTGTTAGTAAATGTACATTGATCTGTGGGATGTAATCAGTATATTACATTATACCTAATGTAGATGTATTAATAACGATATTGCTATTATATGTATATTGATCTGTGGGAAGGGATCAGTATATTACATTATATCCAATGTAGATATAGTACTAATAATATTATTATTACATGTACATTGATATGTGGGAAGGAATCAGTATATTCCATCATATGTAATGTAGATATAGTACCAATGATATTGTTATTACATGTACACTGATGTGTGGGAAGGAATCAGTATATTACATTATATCTAATGTAGATACAGTAATAATGATATCGCTATTAAATGTACATTGATCTGTGGGAAGTAATCACTATGTTACATTATACGTAATGTAGATATAATAATAATGATACTGTTATTAAATGTACATTGATCTGTGGGATCTAATCACTATATTACATTATACCTAATGTAGATATAATAATAATGATATTGTTATTAAATGTACATTGATCTGTGGGATCTAATCACTATATTACATTATACCTAATGTAGATATAGTAATAACGATATTGCTATTATATGTACATTGATCTGTGGGAAGTAATCACTATGTTACATTATACCTAAGGTAGATATAATAATAATGATATTGTTATTACATGTACATTGATCTGTGGGAAGGGATCAGTATATTACATTATATCCAATGTAGATACAGTATGAATGATGTTGTGATTAAATGTACATCGATCTGTGAGATGTAACCACCATATTACATTATACCTAATGTAGATATAGTAATAACGATATTGCTATTATATGTACATTGATCTGTGGGAAGGAACCAGAATATTACATTATATGTATGTTGTAAGGCAGTTCTGGTGACATTTTTTCCAATGAATGGGCAGTTTCGGCGACATCTGGCAGATTTGACGACCGTCGTCAAAGCCATAGCGGTATAATGGTGGTTTTCGTGACAGTCGCTATAACTGCCCATATACGGTTCAATTTTAATATACGGTTCCATGCCAAATCGATAACTTTTCAGCGATTTTGTTCTAAATGAAATTTGTTGTAGTCCATGTGAAATTCGGAAGGGATTAAGTCATCACTTTGCAAGTTCAGAATTTGTTTAGAAGTTACAGGCCTTCGACGTTTTCAATTTTTGCCCATTTTGGCGAAAACGGGCTTCAGATACGAATTTTCATCTCGGGAACTGTTTGTCTGATTAAGCTAAATTTTTTTTTAACCGACTTTGAAAAGGAGAAGGTTACCCAATTCGATCAGTTTTTTTTTCTTTTTCTTTCCTTTTTTTATGTTCATCGATCACTCCGAGACGGATAGACCAATCGGAACGAAACCTTTTGCATCTTGTAGGACCTGTCTCCCGATTGATCCCATAGAAAAACATCTTGCATTTTTTCATTGTTTACCATTTTTTGTTGCAAAAAAGCGTACTGTTTCGTGTATGTTCGGCGTTTTTTTTACAGGGAATGTACCAATCGCGATGAAACCTTTCGTATTTAGTAGAAGATGTTTTCGCGATGATCCCATTTGCAATAAACTTTTTGCTGCAATTCTCTATTGTTATACTAATGTTGTACGGTGTGTAGCTATTACTCTGCAAAAAATATACAGATCACCACTAAAAAGTGTGAAATACAATAATATAAAAAAAAATACAACCGACTACAAAATGCACTATAAAGTATGAAGTAATGTTGATTTAATTTGTATGAATTCTCACCAGCTCAGTTGATTTAAATATTAAATAGCATATTAAATACAGTGCAATCTTTTCGGAGGCAGCGCAAAATTAAAAATTTTATGAATGAATGATGCTGCTGAATATGATTTGATTGGAATATGGTGGACTTGGTAATAAATGGGCAGGAAGGAAAAATACATTAATATGTGAAATCGTAGAATAATTAAAGGATTTACATTTACATCTTTACCCCATTCGAAATTTATACCCGTTTATTTGTTATTACACACACAGACAATTATTTTTTACAAGTTCAATATACTCAAAAAGGGTACATTCATTTATACTACCGCACCATTTTATAATTCATATTTACAAGTATTGACAAGTAGCTACAGTAAGATGTAGTTATTAACAATTATGTACAAGTACTTGTATCTATTTACAATAATTGTGTGTCTGTAATAACAAATAAACGCTTGGAAATTTCGAATACAGTAACGAAGCAAATGTACGTACTGGATAGAAATCATAACTTAAATTCTATAAAAATTACAGCGCATGTAATTAATTATTAATGAATGCAATGATTATAGCACACCTGCAATAGTTATTCGAAAGAGAGAAATTATAATTAAAAAAAAAAGTGGGGAACCATGGATTTGAACCGTGGACCTTCGGATTGCAAGTCATGCGTTTTACAACGGAACCAACGGTGTGTATACATGATTTTGTCATACTTCTCAATGTGAGTAGTTACTAACTTTAATTGTTAATATCTTTTAAACAATTAGCCGTCTACCCCCAAAATGGAGTATAGGCGTGTTCAGCTCGACGAGCTCCACAAGGTCGCAAAGTTACATTAATAAGTGGGCGTTATACTTGGGTGGTACCCCTTGCCAGTAAGAGCAAACTGAAGGATGAATCACTTATTTTATGAAGCAAATACAGTCGGGCAAACTATGTATAACTTTTGACAGATACAGGTCAGAGTGAATCACATCTTGAAAGTACTTATCAAATTACAAGCAGAATCAACCATATATTGCAGGAAATGGAATGCAAGATGGAATAATGTTGCTGAGTAATAAATACGTGCAAGTTTCTTTGACTTTATTTGAACTTTATATGTTGTTGACAATACGGCATGGCATGGTACGTACATTCATATATACTCTTGCTACTCCTTCTAAAGTAGCATGTATCTCTTTACATAAAGAAAAAAATTATATAACAGATGTCTTTCAATAATTGAGTATGACAATCAAAATCAAAATGGGAGTATATTTGCCATTATTTGGTAAGTAATTTGGTGGATTCCAAGTATAAATGCAGTTGAATATAATGTATCAATATATAATAATACTATTTCTTGTTCTTTTTCTATATTTTCAGAACCTGTTCAAACATTGATGGGAAAATTACCACCAAAAATTATGAAGTAGAAAAATTGAATGGATACATTAAAGAAGTTAACCAGCGTAAAGTGAAATACTAAGGCAAATAACAAGAACGTACTCTGAAAAGAAATACAATTACTTTGTCGCAAGATATATCTGGAAATATGTTTAAGGTGTTACGTCCCGACGGAAGATTTGAAATTTATCCACCTGGCGTTCCTTATCAAGCCCTTTTGGGTTACGAGAATTTCTCATGTAAGGGGCGTACAGGCGGGTGTTTCGGTTTTCCGCCAATCTTTTCATTCCTCCTCGACCTTGTACATTTTTGTCAAGCCTTTCGAGGTTACGAGAATTTCTCATGCAGGGATGTACAGGGAAGAGTTTGAGTTAATTCTTTTCTATTTTTGACTTCCTCTATCGCTTTCTCTTCTTTACCTGCTCTACCCTGGAATCGTGTATCTTGTCAAGCCCTTTCGAGGGTTACGAAAATTTCTCATGCGAGGTACACGAGGAAAGGCCGTTTCTATTTTCTACTTTTCAATAGTTTACGTGACCCTCCTTGAAACTATCGTCGCCAGCCATTGTAATAAGAGACTAATACGCACAAAAACTCGGGTTAGCTCGAGTGAGAGAGAGAGAGAGCCGTAGCAATAACACCAGCGCTACGCAGTTATCCAGTGCTTCGCATTTCGGGAATTTCCCTTGGTAACTGCGTAGAAACGGGAAAATCGTAATAACTCTTTTGTTAGAAACCTCTTTCTCACTCTGTTGCACAAAGCGTCAGCCGGTCCAACAAGGATCATCGTTACCTGATTGTAATAATGGTATGAGAGAGTGGATGGATGAAACAAATTGAAACAATGAAAGTAAGAGTTGAGAACCCTTACGAAAGCGAACGTCGCGAACGTTCGACCGCCGTTCGAAAATCAAGGGTCGTTCGAAGCAATAAACACTATTGTATCGAAATTCTAAGAACTGCCTAGCGATAACGGCAAATTTTGAACAAAGGAACGTTCTCGAAGGAACGTTCGCCAGATCTAGAATTGTTTAAAATTTATAAAATGCGAAATGCCGAATATATCGAGGCGATAGTTTTAATCCGCGATAGATTGCATAATTCGCCACGGCGTTACAACCACCGTAAGCGCGTCATCCGCTTTTAAATATATTAAATCATACTGTCTTTTTGCAATCGGGAATGAATAATTTTGATCATGATATACGGATGACGGTTTCCTATCAAAATCTATATTTCAATTTTGATCTATATTTCAATTTCAAATCTCAATTCGCATTCCAACTGAACTAATGGTTATATCTCGAATAAATGCCGTTAATTAATTATATGTATAAAGAGAAATACTGCGTAGTTTCTGAAAACCGTTGAAACTATCATGGCGACGAATGAGAAAAGGAAGGAACACCAAAGAAAGGGGATGAAAGATCTTCGTCTAGCTCGCGCGTCTTAGCCAATCACCGGGCACGCGACACTTCCAAAAACCGGCTACGATTCGCCAAACCGTCCCCTCCAAGGACGATGTTCGCGCGACGGGCCCTTCGGCCGTCGATCGCGCACGAAATTTGTCACTCTTGATCGATCAATCGTAAGTACGTGATCGGGAGCCCGTGTGTCCGAGAGACAGAGTTATTTGGAAGTTCGCGATATTTTCTCTGCGGTAAAGTCCTCCGCGTAGCGAGGCAGAGTGCCGTGCGAGTTGAAATAATCGGAATTCTGGATAAGGACTCATAGACGCGCACGTAAAATCTTCTCTCTCCCTAAATTTCTATCTTTTCTTTCTGATTTTAAATCGTTTGCTCGCGTAGTAATTTCGTATTAACTTCACTCCGCGTAAATCATATATTGATCGGTTTCGTAATAAATTGTAATTAATCGTAAATCGTTATTCGTTTGTCTTTCGTCGACGTACTCGTCCGTTTTAATTCATTTCCGCCGCGACAAGTGCAGTGATCAACATCTTACCGTTTCTTTGGTGTTCCAGATCATCAGGCGAATACAGAGAAATTTAGCTAACGAATATCAATAATTTTGTTTCGCATTATACAGCGTAACGGTAAGTCGTTTCAATTACATTTTTCGATCACGACGTTCATTGATTGGCAAAACGGGCGATCTGGTCCAGCCCTTCAGGGTTACGAGAATTCCTCAGGTCAGATCGTTCCACCGTACGAGGTATCGATATCATTCAATATTAAATATTATTTTCCGTTTATTACAATTTCGAAATCCAGTTTCTTTCCATCATCTAAAGGTCACCTTAGTCCAGCTCCTTCGGGAGTTACGAGAATTTCTCAGGCTAAATTCTCAGTATACTAGTCTAATGTTTCAAATGTGATATCAGAGTGTTTTCATATCCATATATATATATATCTTGTTAACTAATCTTAAGCATCTTTACATTTGTACACATTTTTGCAAAACTGGTAATTTTCAATTTAACGGAATTTCTAAATTATTGAACTCATAATTTTGGCAATTATCTGTTTTTCATTCACGATTAAACCAGTTTCATTTAGTTAAACAGTTTCCATTTATTTCGAACACACCTCACACGTTTCAGTTAAAACTGCGACGACAGCCGCGGATCGGCGTCGCGCATCGCGGGCCCCCACCGCGGCGGCATCCTCACTCCCAAGTAATTAGAGTATAAGTAGGACCGATCGATGCGCGGATCGATGAGTTGCCTCGGGGCTTCGGCCCCGACGGGACCTCCTCGTAGGTCCGGACCGGAGCACCAGAGCTCTCGACGCCATGGCTGACCTGGCGAAGAGATCTCTGGCCAACGGGTCGCAGCATTGCACTACGCTACGACCTGGCCGCTCCCATAGGTCCAGCGGCCGTAGGCGCCTAGCCTCGTCAGTCCCGTGGTTGACGCGGGGTGACCAAGCTAGTGCGCGTTCATAATCTCTGCGGGTGCTTCCGCGGGGATTCCGAACGCTAGCTTACTCGGCACCGCAGATTGCCTTTGGCAGCCGATTCCGTCCAGCTTTGTGGCGTTGCCCAGGCTGGCCAGGATTGGTCGTCGACTCGTTCGCTGCTCGGTTCTACCTCGGCGTACGAGAAGACGAGCCGCGTGAGGCAAGCGGGCAGCAACTCCACCGCAGCGCGAAACACCGCAGCGCGATTGAATAAACACCGTCGGCCCAACCGGGCCAATCCTATCCCGACTCTACCTTCTTTGCGTTTGCGTACGTTTGCGTCTGTTTGCGTTCGCGCTCCGATCAGCCATTTCACTCCGCGCTCCGACATCGCGCCGTTAGTTGTAAGACCGCGTAGCGATGGCTACGACCTGCGCTAAAATTAAGGCCGCGTACTTTCTGTGACGGACCGGGTTCCGACCGTAGTTCGTAAGTCCTGTACATTAGGCTTAAGATTGGCTCCACGTGTCTAACCACCAGACGATATTCTGATTGTAGCTCCCGAGGCAGGAGAGCACCGCCCAAACACCCGGCGCAAGGGAGCCGCCGCTAGGATAGCCGCCTTTACTACCATCTCCCTTTTCTTTTTTTGAATAAATGATACTTTATTTTTCTACTAACACCGACTCGTTATTTACCGACCTGTTCCCATGCGAACCCTGGCACGGGGAAACCGCCGTGCGCACCGAACCGACCGACCCCGTTACAAAACACGCCTACCAACATACCCAGATTCAAGGAGGGTCCCGTTCGGGACCAAGCGTCGAACGAACCCAACGAAAGGCTAATAATTATAATCTTTTAACATCTTATCAATTTTGTCTTTCGTCTTTTAATTTGTCGAGAGCGTTAACACGCTCGAGGCTGGTGGCAGCGATACCAACCATCGCGCTAAAATAGGGAAGCAGGAATTAGGGGTTAAATTCCAACCAATTAATTGAAATTTAACTACCTATATCTCCAATTGTTATCTTTCCTTTTTACGTTGCGCCGTCGCACGCGCGCAACGTAACAAAGGTAAAAGAAATATAGCATCTTATTTTCTTCAATACATGCTTTATTTCAAATTAATATTCTTGAGTAAAATGTATGAATATATAATAATATGATTTCTTTTTCTTTATTTTCAGCATTTATTCAGACATTAATGAGGAAATTACAACAAAGAATTTATGGAGTAGGAAAATTTGATAGATACAGTGAACAAATTATCCAAAGAGGATTATAAAATTAGATATGTTTGTTTTCCAAATCATCGACTATAAAAACAATGTAATGCCAGCATATTTTAAGTAAATAAATTAATAGGAAAAAATGAAACTCTTAAATTATAATTTCCTGTTCTATTTACCTTAATATAGAATTTAATTCATGGTTCACATTGTCGTTTTGTACTTACAAATAAATACTTTTGTCGTGTAAAAATTCATAAATATGTGGGATGCGACGGTCCCAGCCTAGTACCTGAGACACTCGAGGCCGGGTTTATGACTGGGCCACCCGACGCAGATGGTTTGCTGGCGGCCGGTGACGACGTTGTCGGAGTTAGTTTTAAGTTTATTGTTTAGGCGTAAGGGTATGAGTGAGAGAGAGAGAATGAGGAAGTGAGTGACCGATGCCGAGAGTGTGCATCGAGGAGAAAGCGGGCAGAACATCTGAGAGAGTGAAGAAGGGCGGATCAGCGAAGACAGTGTGGATGAGTGTAGTCAGAGCAGATAGATATAGTACAGCTAGTTTAGTTTAATTTAGTTTAGCTTAGAATAATAAATGACAAATTACATGACCACTTGTTCTCTGCTAAACCTTCCAATCCCACAAATAAAAAAAAAAGTTGTAATATCACAGTTGTTACTTTACTATTCACATCCATCTATTTTGTATCACTTGTGTTTATAAATGTCAAACTTATCTCATCCGACTACAGCAGTCCAATTAAAATATTCTATTGTTCAGACCATTTAGAAAATATATTAAAACATTTAGAAACAATCTTGTTCAGCGAAGACTTATGGAGAAAAGATAGAAAATGATATCCAATTACTGTGAATTAGTTTTATGTCACCATAAGCAAATATAACCTAAAATCTTACAATACACAATTCACTAAATCTCTTGAACAATTGTACTAGAATATTTTAATCACATGTAGTCCGACAATATATTGTGTCAATTCTATTTCTTTTTCCTGGTAATCACCGATACTTTACAATTTTTTGGCGAAACACGGAGCACATGACAGAATGTAACGCGTTATACAGCTGACGCGATAAGAGTGTAGAAATCGATAGAAATTGATAGTTCCACTATTTTTCCACGCATTTTCATGATCAACCCCTTTTTTTGTCGAAAATCACGAATACTTTTCAATTTTTTAACGAAGGAAGGTGCTTATCATGGAAAATAAATTGTTCTAAATACGACGCAATAAAATAGTAAAAAATCGAAAAAATCAATAATTCCACTATTTTTCCATATATTTGCATGATCGACCACTCTTTTTACTGGAAATGGCGAATAGTTTTCAATTTTTTAGTGAGAAAAGGTGCTTATCGTCGAAAATGAGCTGTTCTGAATACGACGCAATAAAATAGTAAAGAATCGAAAAAATTAATAATTCCACTATTTTTCCATATATTTGCATGATCGACCACTCTTTTTACTGGAAATCGCGAATAGTTTTCAATTTTTTAGCGAGAAAACGTGCTTATCGTCGAAAATAAGTTGTTCTGAATACGACACAATAAAATAGTAAAAAATCGAAAAAATTAATAATTCCACTATTTTTCCATATATTTGCATGATCGACCACTCCTCTTACTGGAAATGGCGAATAGTTTTCAATTTTTTAGTGAGAAAAGGTGCTTATCGTCGAAAATGAGCTGTTCTGAATACGACGCAATAAAATAGTAAAAAATCGAAAAAATTAATAATTCCACTATTTTTCCATATATTTGCATGATCGACCACTCTTTTTCCTGGAAATCGCGAATAGTTTTCGATTCTAAAAAGAGTGGTCGATCATGCAAATATGTGGAAAAATAGTGGAATTATCGATTTTTCGATTTTTTACTATTTTATTGCGTCGTATTTAGAACAATTTATTTTCCATGATAAGCACCTTCCCTCGTTAAAAAATTGAGAAGTACTCGCGATTTTCGACAAAGAAAGGGGTTGATCATGAAAGTGCGTGGAAAAATAGTGGAACTATCGATTTCTATCGATTTCTACAGTCTTATCGCGTCAGCTGTATAACGCGTTACATTCTGTCATGTGCTCCGTGTTTCGCCAAAAAATTGTAAAGTATCGGTGATTACCAGGAAAAAGATATATAATTGACAGAATATATTGTTGGACTACATGTGATTAATATTATCTAGTACAATTGTTCAAGAAATTTAGTGAATTGTGCATTGTAAGATTTTAGGTTATATTTGCCTATGATGACATAAAACTTATTCATAGTAATTGGATATCATTTTCTATCTTTTCTCCATAAGACTTCGCTGAACAAGATTGTTTCTAAATACTTTAACATTTTTTCTAATTGGTCTGAACAATAGAATATTTCAATTGGACTGCTGTAGTCGGATGAGATGAGTTTGACATTTATAAACACAAGTGATACAAAATAGATGGATGTGAATAGTAAAGTAACAACTGTGATATTACAACTTTTTTTTTTATTTATGAATTTTTACGTGACAAAAGTATTTATTTGTAAGTAGAAAAAGACAATGTGAACGATGAATTAAACTCTATATTAAGGAAATTGGAACAGAAAATTACAATTTATAAGTCTCATTATCTCCTGTTAATTTATTTAGTTAAAGTATGCTGGCATTACATTGTTTTTATAGTCGATGATTTGCAAAATAAACTTATTGTTCCGAATATCAGATTTCAATATTAAGGGAAGTGGAAACAAGGTATGATCGTGGTCACCGAGGATAAATGAAACACAAGCAATATTAGATTTTAACGAATAAGAAAGAAAAACAAATGATTTTATTATACAGAAAAAATGACTTTAAAGGATACCGGCTGTAAAAAACCCCAGACTCAAGTGGGGAAAAAGCCTGGTTCCATAAGCAAAATAAACTACAACAAATAAAAGAATAATACAATAACAAAACGATAATATATATATATATGAAAGTAAAACTATAACCTAGAGATTAAAATACTATTTGAATGATCATTCAAGCTTATGACTATCGCACGCAAGAGCTCTTTACCATCCGTACTCCTAGGGCACCTCGCCGACGTCGCAGCCAATCGTCGCGGTCCTCGCACAAATAAACCCTGATCACAGGAGGCGTTCCCCAATTGAGAACAAAACAGTCGTGATCACACGAGCTTAAAATTGCACCCAGTGCATTTCCTGGTCACAGGAAGTGTCCCGCCAAGTGGGGACAAAAAATGACCGTGATCACACGGCCCCAAATGCACTCAGTGCTTCACACGCAGAGGACGCACGCCCGATTAAACTCGCGCACGTCAGCCGATCGCCCCCAATACAAAAGAAAACACAAAAAGAACACAAAAGTATCTCAAACGCACAAAGACCAAAAATACGAGTGCAGAGGTCACGGATTCTCGTTTGAATGTCGGGCCCAGTCCCGAACGGTCCTTTCCACCCCCACACTGCTCGCGCCTGCGTATTGCAGCGTGGCGCTGACACTCATGCCCCCCTTCTCGTGGCGTCAAATTTGAATCCTACAGCTCGGACCAATTATAGAATAGAAATACGAAACCCGAACACTTATCTAATTTAATAATCTTCTTCTTTAGATAATATGTTCACTGTATCTATTATATTTTTCTACTTCATAATTTGTTTGTTGTAATTTCCTCATCACTGTGTGAATAAATGCTGAAAATAAAGAAAAAGAAATCATATTATTATATATTCATACATTGTACTCAAGAACATTAATTTGAAATAAAGGATGTAATGAAGAAATTAAGGTTTAATATTTCTTTTACCTTATTCTTTTACCGTATTCAACTGCACTTATACTTGGAATCCACCAAATTACTTACCAAATAATGGCAAATATACCCCCATTTTGATTCGTCGTATTGTCAACAACATATAAAGTTCAAATATAGTCAAAGAAACTTGCACGTATTTATTACTCAGCAACATTATTCTATCTTGCATTCCATTTCCTGCAATATATGGTTGATTGTGCTTGTAATTTGGTAAGTACTTTCAAGATGTGATTCACTCTAACCTACATCTGTCAAAAGTTATACATAGTTTCCCTGACTGTATTTGCTTCATGAAATAAGCGATACATCCTTCAGTTTGCTCTTGCTGGAACATTCGTATCGTTGCTGCATTCGAAATTTACAATTGTTTATTTGTTATTACACACACACAATTATTGTAAATAAATACAAGTACTTGTACATAACTGTAAATAACTACATATTACTGTTACTACTTGTAAATAGTTGTAAATATGAATTATAAATTGGTAGTATAAATGAATGTGCCCTTTTTGTGTAAATTGAACTTGTAAGAAATAATTGTCTGTGTGTGTAATAACAAATAAACGTATGTAAATTTCGTATGCGCTAAGGATGTAAATTACATACTGGATAGAAAACATAGCTTAAATTCTATAAAAATTGCAGCGTATCTAATTAATTATCAATAAATGCAATGATTATAGCACAGCTATACTAGTTATTCAAAACGAGACAAATTATGATTTAAAAAAATGAAAATTTGAGAACCATGGATTTGAACCCTGGACCTGTAGATTGGGAGTCATGCGTTTTACCGCGATGCTAACCGTTTTTTTATCTTGTGGACATTGTTTATTAACTTTTGTCTTTCTTCTGTTACAGGTACACTAACGTAAGATCCAGAATAAACGACTGACTCAGTTGAGTATATAATTAGCAACTTATCCTAATGGCGCGCAACTGAGCCTCTCTAGGACACGCTTATTAATGCATAGAGCTTTTGGCTATTTGCTTTGGTTTGTAATTGTTTTTTAGTAATAACTTGATAATACAAAAATGTTCAGGAAAGGAAATTTTGTAGATTAAATAACAATTGAATTTGTTTGTTCCAGATGATGGATGAGCGAAGAGGGAAAAAGAAAAACATGAAGGAATAGAAACAGTGAGTGAGAGAGCAGAAGATGATAAAGGAAGGAATTATTGTATGCGAAAATGATACAGCGACTTACACACTAATAGGAAAACTTACTTACTAAATAACGCAACAACAAAAACAACTAACTTAAAAGAAAAGAAGACTATAATACAATAATAA